AGGGCTCCCTAAAAGGCAAAAGAAAATTTTTGTAAAAGTAGTATTTCAAGTCCTAGTGACTCCTGGTCGTTCTGTGTATCAAAATTCTATAGCTAGAAAAGGGTTTGAATAGTTTGTGAATTTATGAAACTTTGACATATACATAATTCCAAAGTTTAAACCCCAGAACCTTATCAGAGTAAATTAGCAACTGGATCAGAATTTCTCTTAAGGAATCACCAACTATTATGCAAAAGAAACGTAGTGTTAGGTATGAATCTGAATTTGCAATAAAAGTGTTAGAAGAAAATAATTATTTAAAAATCCATTAGTTTTTAAGACTAGGGGATTGGTTTCCTTGCATAATTTTTATTCATGGATTTGTTTTTATAGAATAACTTTTATGTTTGTTTTCAAAGCTAATAAGTAACTAAATAAGTTTAGTTTTTAGTCTAAACTAAACTAATAAGTTTAAGTTTTTAGGCTATATTTAGTGACTTATTACTAACACTATTTTATATAAACTGTCTAGCACATTAAACTGATAAAATTCTAGCCAATTTGATTCTGTTTGAATCATCACTGGATTTTACTGTTACCTTATTAACTCATAAATGGATCTTTATTTTTGACTGAAAGCTGTATATTATAAATGCATTGTGGAAGATAGGTTTTGTCCCATATGGAGGACAAGGAGTGTATAATTCTGCTACATGTGATAGAAAATGTCTTCTTATTTTCATTATGTTTAAACAGAGTAGTCACTCTTAAGCAGCGCTCAAGAATGTATATGTGAATATATGTATCTTGTGCCAGGTTCAGGAAAATCGGGCAGGTTCTTTCTAAATACATGAGAAAATTCTTTGTTGTCTAGGCCCTGTGTTAGCTTTTTTCTGACCACCTCTGATTTGAGACATTTTGTGAAATCATTCTTCATTTTTTTAACCTATAAAATGATACTCTTGGCAAATACACCATTTTACTGTGACAATTGAGTAATTTATCTTTTGATGGGAAAATCTTTATGCACATTAATAGTTGATAATTTATAAAAAACATTTTAATCTTACAAATCATTTAATTCATCTTTTGAAATGTCAGGGTGTACTGATGGTTGGACCCCCAGGCACTGGAAAGACTATGCTAGCTAAAGCTGTTGCTACTGAATGTGGTACGACATTCTTCAACGTTTCCTCTTCTACACTGACATCTAAATATAGAGGTGAATCTGAGAAGTTAGTCCGTCTGTTGTTTGAAATGGTGAGTGATGATACATTCAGATTTCAAAGTACTATTTGTATGGGTGTATGATGCCCCTATAAATCTAGGTCTGTTCACCTAGGAATCTTTTTTGAAAAGGGCAATGTAGTTGTCTTTTAATAGTTCTTGACACACTAGCAAGTCATGGCTGGTGGGTTTTGTGGGATAGTTGGTGTGTCTTCAGTGTATCTTTCTCTCCGAGGTAAAAGAATGTCCTTTAGCATCCTGTCCAGTGAGAGTAGAGAAGGAGACTTAGGTCATGTTTGTGGGTTGACTGGTATTTCTGCCATCCAAGTACTAACCAGGCCCAACCCTGCTTAGCTTCTAAGATCAGACGAGATTGGGTGCGTTCAGGGTGGTATGGTCGTAGACTGA